TAAACACTAAATAAGATTAGGCCCAGTAACTAAGGCCCAATAACTAATGACTTAAGACCCAACAAAGATAAACATACAAATTAAGACAGCCGAACCAACAAATCAAACAAAAATAAAAAAACTAGTTTTTCACTCTTTATGGACCTAACTGAGGTCAGCCCAGTACCAAAAAGTTCAAAAGCTAGGGTTTCATTGCACCCGACTCAATGGGAGAAAGAGAGAAGACGTAGCCGCTCCTACCAGAGCTGCCCAACCTTCTTTAAACCTTAACTGCCCCATTCTGGGGATCAAAAGAAACCTCCCAAGCCCTAAGTGCCACACCCAATCCTTCTCCTTGTCCTGTAACATGAAATCTCTCTGGTTGGCTGGGGTTTTGGACAGAAAAATAACAGCTCCACTTCTTGGAACTCTTTGGCCAGACTCTAATTCTCCAAACCTTCTACCAACTAGGCAAACAGACCTTTGAATGATCAGAAGCTTATCTCTCCATATACTCTTCTAATCGAAGGGTGTATGGGAAAAGAAAAGGAAAAAAAGGAAGAGGGAAAAAACTGCTTTGATACCAAGATGTGAAACTGTCCTTCAAATCTGATAATTAAACCTGATTACAGCAGTAAAAGAAAAGAAAAAAAGTGATTACAGCAAAAGGAAGAAGAAGTAGAGAAAGGAGAAGAGAGATCAATAGTTTCCTCCTCTCTCTCTTAATCTTTTATTATACTCACTTAACTTGGACTAATTACATCTCTGCCCTTAAGTGGCCAGCACATAAATAATTTAAAAGAAAAACAAAACAAGTTAACAGGCCCATTAACACATAAAATGTAAACATGATGCTACTTAAAACATAAACAAGTACTAGGGCCCATTTGGTCCAATCTCTCTACAATTGAGTTTATTTTTTATTTTATTTTATTTTTGTATCAGCCACCCTATAAGGGCATAGTAGTCATTGTACACGTTTTTTTATTTAAAATACTAATGGGAGAGGGCGGTCAGATCAGTTTTGCCTTCTCTTCCTTTCTTCACTCTTTCTCTTCTACTCTTCTCTCACAAAACCACTTCTTTTCTTCCTTTCTTTTACAGTTTTTTTTTTTGTTTCAGCAGATTTCTACTAATATAAAGTAAAATGAAACAGCTATTTATCAGAAAAAAAAACAAAACAGCCCACTATCACAACATCAATAAATTCAATATTTTATATTTATACAAATTTATTGCACAAGTTAAAAATTAATTAAAATTGTTATAACTTTAATTTTTCTTGATTTTGACACAATAAAACTGATTTGGATTAAATCTGAATCCGATCCAAGTCTAATATATCAGCTTTTGGATTGGATTCAGATATGAAGTTTTAAACTTTCAATAATCAGATTGGAATCGGATGTGGCTGGATCCGATTTGACTCTTACCCTATTACAGTCTCAAGGACAGCAAATTTTTCTGTATCTTATTTTGTATTTGTGTAGTTTTATCTTTTTTTTTTATTTTTATTATATGATTTATGATGTCATGAGCCTAGGCAGTTGAACTGTTGATTCACCGCAGGACAAGATGATTGAATTGCTAACATGGACCCAATCCTTTATTATATGCAATATGATTTTTTTTTCTTGTACTAAAAAAGGGAGGGAAAAAAAATGATTGTGAGAAAGCAACTCTACTCATTCCAGATGTTACAGGAAAGGGGGAAAGATGAGAGACAACACATACATAGTGCAACCATGTATATATTTTAAAAGTTATCAGTGCTTATAGATAGCCATTCTATTTGTCCAGAACAAATATAATGGATGATCCTTTACCGTTGTCTGATTTGTTCTGTTTTTGTACTTTGTTAGGACTTATAGAGTGGCATGTAGGATTAAGATGGAGCTTGGATGCCAAACTTTTAAGTATCTGGACCTACATGCTTCTAGTCTGAAATAGATAGGCAATATTAGCAGTGATTCTTTCATCCTTGGGAAGTTTGGGGCTCAAATTTGTGTTTTGGATAATTTATATTGTTTTGCCTATGGGCAAATTGTAATGCGTTAGTTTGTTTGGAGGTGTTGCCTTAACACCTGGCTGGGTTGTATCTCTTTTTTTCCTTTTAATAAAAATTTCTTTTAAAATAGAAAAAGTCTTTCATAACTTGTCTTTTATTTTTTAATAACTTGTTATTCTTGCACCTGTATTTCTTGGTTTTCTAGAGGTTGAATAGCATAGCATGTATATGTTGAGTTTGATATGACTTTAAATGTTACCTGCATTCTTCTGCTAGCAAGTTTGCCTAAATGCCTTTTCTTTCTTTCAGAGTCCTAATGGATGTATATCGATCATGCAATCGCCAAGCCTTCAATGCAGGTGCACCATGCAGTAATTTGATTTTTGTTACTTTATCATGCAGAAGGATCAATGGTTTCATACCCATCAAAATTAAAAGGGACCAAAGTTTTCATGTTTGTATAGGAATTACCACAAAAGTTACCAGTGATCTGTTTAATTTGCCACTTATACCGTCTCTTTTTCTGTTTTTCTGTTTCCAGCATTTAGAAAACTTGGCTTGGACTGTGCAAATTGGACACAACCAATTTATTTAGATCTTCTAAGGTGTGAACTTAAAACTAACTCAAGTTTATACTTTAATATAGGTAGGAGGTTTCATCCTTGTTTGGAGTGTAACTTTATGTACAACCATACCAAGTTTGCTTTTCATTCTAATGTGAATCATTCCAATTGCTTTCTATATCCAGAATTCCATCTCAGTGAATAGCATCATATATTCAAGTTTCACTTGGATCATCTTGGTTAGTTCCATGATGTTCTAGTGTGGCTTTTTGACTTACCTAAGGATATTTTATTTCAATTAGTTAGGATGTTAAAGGCATTTGTAGATTAATTTCCAATTACATTTCAGGAAGGCTGGTGGCAATGAGGAAAGAATGCTAGTCTTGTTTTTTAACAGGGCAAGTGGTCATCTCTCTCTCTCTCTCTCTCTCTCTCCTTCCCTCCCTCCCTGCCTCCCTCTTCCCCCAATGTTCTGAAGACTGTTATCACATTGTAACTCTGTAAATAGAGAAGGTTGAATAGAATCAAATCATGAATCATAAGTTTATTTCTGTTTTCAGTTTGTCAGAAAAATAACCATATTGGTACTAAAAACTAGAAAGCCTAGATATATAGTTTCAGTCCACATCCACTTCATAAACAATTGATACAAGATATTATAATTAATAATTAATAAGTACAAGATAATGCAATGAAGCTTGACTATAAAGTCAGATAGCAAAAATATTGGTTCTTTAACCTAAATATGATGGGAAATAGACTAAAAAGGCTCTTTCAATAAGTTTTAAGTAATCAAAGGGTTTTAGAACAGAATAATTCAAAACACATAATAGATAAATAAATGACAAAATACAAAATTAGATCTTTCTCAAATTAATCTTAATCATATAAATCAGATAAAATATAAGGTTCAAACAATAATTGTAAAAGTTTTCTAGAAAAGGATTCAATCATTATATTTGAGTCAAAAGTAATTGGGTTTCACGTGCACAATGTAAGAGTTCAACAACCACCTTTCAACACATGAACAGAAGAAAAACTTATTCAGTGCTTCTTTAATAATACATTTTCTCTGTTTTTCTCAATTGTTTGTGCAGATTGGTTGGCCTACTTCATTGCCTACTAATGAGAAAGAAACATTTATGAAAAGTGTAATTCGCGAGAAGGTAATATTTTTTCATCATGTATTATGCTCAACAACTTCCAAGAAATTCCTTGGGCATAGTTTTAGCATGTTTGGTGGCTTAATCATCTTTGATTTTTATACTCAAATAAAATAACAAGTGTGGAATGCAAAGGTTGAGTTCCAAATGGGTTTACAGTATGCCTGAGTTGTTCCCTGATTTTCCTGAATGTTCTCTTTCTTGTAGTCATTTATCTATTGTGATCATATGAAGAAACACTCCATCAAAAGATGCAAGAGGAATATAGAATATCCCAGAAAAACTGGGGATTCCAAAAAAGAAAGAGGAACTTGTGGGGCCTCTAGGAGCAAAAGTAACTCAGACAATACAAGAGAAGATCATCTATGATTGGAGAGATGATCTTTGGTACAATTCAATCCTTTGAATCCCATCCCTGGCTAGACAATTGACAACTGAGTTGGTGGATTAAGGAATCCAATATGAATTATTTACCTCCCATGGATCTATTCATAGGAGCTCATGTGCAAGAACTCCGCAACAAAATGGTGTTGCCGAAAGAAGAAACAAACACCTTGAGGTAGCTCGAGGGATGATGTTACACATGAATGTTCCAAAAAGGTTTTGAATGGATGCTATACTTGCAGTCGCTTTGGTTGTTGTGCTTTTGTCCATGATTTGTCTCTGTCTCGGGGAATTTAGAGCCTCGGTCCATTCCTTGTATCTTTCTGGGGTTACCTTCCTCTCAAAAGGGGTATCGGTGCTATGATCCCGTTAGTCATAAATTTTTTTGACTCTATGGATGTGTCCGTTGAGTCTGAACCGTTCTTCCCTGCTTCTCCTCAGGGGGAGAGTAGTGTGGAAGAGGAGAAGTAGGTTCAAGTCTGCCAAGTCTCTCTTCTTTCTATTCCGGACCTAGCCCCCTTTCGTGTCTTCTAACATACATGCCGTAGAGATCAGCAATGTGATAGAGATGTGGAACTACCAAACACTGAGCATCTGACACCGTCAAACTCCCAGGAGGTAACTCCAACCCTTCTATACCTATTGACACCCTTGCTCCTACTGTGGATGACCTTGACATTCCTATTGCTTAAAGAAAGGGAGTCAGGTCATGCACTACCAAACACCTCATCACCCAGTATGTCTCCTATCACATTTCCCCCTCATACCGAGTCTTCCTATCTGCAGTTGATTGCATCCCTGTACCCAAAAATGTTACAGAAGCCTTAAAATACCTTGAATAGACAGATGCTATGATGGAGAAGATTAATGCCCTCCATAAAAAATTAAACTTGGGAATTAGTGGATCTTCTAAGGGGGAAAGACCCAGTGGGGTGTAAGTGGGTGTTTACAGTTAAGCACAAGGCGGACAGGATAGTTGAAAGGTATAAAGCAAGATTAGTAGCCAAAGGGTACACTCAAGTGTACTGAGTTGACTATGATGAGACGTTTGCTCCAGTAGCTAAGATGAACTCAATTCGAGTTCTTCTATCATTAGCTGCTAATCTTGATTGGGAATTGCATCAACTAGACATTAAGAATGCCTTTTTAAATGGTGACCTAGAGGAGGAGGTGTACATGGTTCAACCCCCGGGATTCTGTGCCAAGGGAAGTGAGAATAAGGTGTGTAAGCTAAGAAAGTCTCTCTATGGTTTGAAACAATCTACCAGGGCTTGGTTCAATAAGTTTCATATGGTAGTTCAACAAGTAGGGTTCAAGCAATGTCAGTTCGATCACACACTCTTTGTGAAGAGATGTCAGGAATAGGTTGCTGTTTAGATAGTGCATGTGGATGATATCATCATCACAAGAAATTGGAGTTCAGAAATACAACAGTTGAAACAATTCCTTGCATCTAAATTTGAAGCGAAAGATCTAGGTCCTCTACAGTATTTTCATGGAATTGAAGTTGCTCGCTCTAAAAGTGGTATCTTCATTTCTCAAAGGAAGTACACTCTTGATCTGTTACAAGACACAAACAAGTTAGGTGAAAGACTACCAGATACTCCTATGGATGTTGATCATAAATTGGGTAACTGTGATGGTGAACCTCTGAAAGATGTAAAACAGTTCCAAAGGTTAGTGGGAAAGTTAATTTATTTGTCCATGACTCGTCTAGACATTGCTTATTCAGTTGGTGTCCTGAGCGAATTCATGCACTCTCCTAGGAAACCTTATTTGGAGGCAGCAGAGAGAGTTCTTAGATACTTAAAAAAGTATCTAAGAACAGGTCTACTATTCAGTAAGCATAATCATCTAAAGGTGGAAGTCTTTATAGATGCTGATTGGGCAGGTGCTGTGGATGATAGATAAGTCCACAAGTGGGTATTGCACATTTGTGGGAGGAAACCTAGTGACTTGGAAATGCAAGAAACAAAGTGTGGTAGCAATGTCAAGTGTTGAAGCGGAGTATAGAACTATGACACATGGGGTGGTTGAAGTTCTTTGGCTAAAAAATCTTCTAGGGGAGCTTGGAGTTTCTGTTCATAATCCTATGTCTCTTTACTGTGACAACAAGGCAGCCATTAACATCGCCAACAATCCTGTCCTACATGATAGGACCAAGCACATTGAAGTGGACAAACACTTCATAAGGGAAAAATTAGAAAAAAAGGGAAATTTGCATCCTTTATGTCAACACCAAGGAACAACTTTCTGATGGCCTCACAAAAGGACTTCCATACTTGCGGCACAATGAGTTGTGTGACAAGTTGGGCATGATAGATATATACAACCCAACTTGAGGGGGAGTGTTATGAAACTTATTTTGGTTTGCTATGCTGTTAGTATGCTGTCAGCAAGTTCCTTTTTTCTTTTTTGTTATTTGTTCATTATTATGAATTGCCACCAAGGGCATTCTTGTAATTACTGGTCTTATTATGTTAAGAGAATATAAATAAGAAGTTGGTAGCCAACTAGCCCTTAAGTCTTTGGTTCTCAATCGAACTTCTCTTCTCTCTCTCTCTCTCTCTTCTCTCTCTCTTTCCTTCTCTTCTCAATCGAACACAAAAATGAAAGCCTTCTTAAAGGAAAACACTTGGAAAGTAGTGGATCTATCAGTTGTGAAGGGAATTCTGGGGTGCAAGTGGGTGTATACAATTAAACACAAGGTTGATGGTTCTATCGAGAGGTACAAAGCTAGATAAGTTGTAATGGGATTCGACTAAAAGAAGGTATTGATTACAAGAAGACCTTTGCTCTAGTTGCCAAATTGAATACTATACTGGTGTTACTCTCTCTAGTAGCTAGCTTTTCTTGGAAACTACATTAAATGGGTATCAAGAATGCCTTCTTAAATGATAATCTACTAGAAGAAGTCTACATGGATCCTCCTCTAGGGTATGGCATGAGAGGAAAGGTGTGCAAGCTAAGGAGAACCTTATACAACCTTTAACAATCCCTAAGGGTTTGGTTCAAGAGATTATGCAAAGAAATGAAGGTTGTTGGGTATAAGCAAAGTAGTGTTGATCAACTTTGTTCTATAAAAGAATGGAGGAAAACTAACAAACATTGATTATTTGCATTGATGATATGGTGGCTATTGGAATTGATTTAGATGAGATTCAGGAGTTGAAAGACTTCTTAGCTTTAGAGTTTGAAATTAAGGATTTAGGACCTCTATGATATTTCTTGGGAATAGAGGTAGCTTGATCTAGTGAGGGGATCTACATCTGCCAAAGTATACCTTTTGAAGGAGACTGGAAAATTAGGAATTAGACCAGCAGATACTCCTATAGAGTAGGATCATGGGTTGCAGGAAGATGATGGGGAATTGTAACTTGACAAAAAGAGATATCAGAGATTAGTTGATAAGTTGCTTTATTTATCCTTCTCTAGACTAGACATTGTATATGCAGTGCATGTGGTCTGTCAATTTATGCATGCTCCATTAGTCCCACATATGAAGGCAGTGGAAAGGATCTTGAGATACTTGAAGACATGTCTTGGAAAGGGATTACTGTTTAAGAATCCCAACAAAAATAGAAGTGGAATCTTATATTGATGCTGATTGGGTAGGTTCTCTTGGAAATAGGTCTAATATGGACATTGTACTTTTGTAGGTGGTAACCTTGTCACTTGGAGGAGCAAAAAACTAACTGCTGTGGCAAGATCAAGTGTTGAGGCTGAATATAGGGCTATGGCTCATGGAGTTGCCGAGTTGCTTTGGATCAGCATTTTTCTGAGGGAGTTGGGATTGATGTGACCAAGCCTCTAATGCTGTATTGTGATAATCAAGTTGCAATCAACATTGCTAACAACCTAGTCCTGTTATACAAGCTGGGCATGAAAGATATCTATGTTTAACGCGAGTGTTGTGAGACCTAGCATTGTGGGATTGGGTTGTCTTTTGTTTATGTTCTTCTTCAATGTTTATTTCTTAGGCTGAATGGGCCTAGGCCTCTACTGTACTAATTTGTTCTTTTCGGTCTGCTAATCAGGGGCAGATTTATCATTGCACTCCTTTTCTTAAACCCTGCTATAAATAATAAGTTTTGGGGATAGTTAGGGCTGCTGTCACATCATTTCTCTCAACCTAAATACAACATTTTTCTTCACCCTTTCTTTTCCAATGTTGAGTTGGTGGAGAATAATGAAATATCTGGTAGAACCCTACAGCCATCTAGTATAAAATGGAACTTTTATGATCTTTGGTGCTGCCTGCAACAGTTTTTACTACTATTTCAATTCTCAAATTCTCAATAGCGTAAAAACTCTAGCTGGCCTCAACAAATTTTCATCACAAATGAGCCATATAAATCAAAGATCATGTTGTAAGAAGGGGAAATAGAAGAGTTATCTTTACAATGCTTCTTGCATATTTGGTCAATTACTTGAGGGAAGAAAGAGATCTTTAGTTTGATGAATTGATTTCTGTGGTCTAAGTTATTTTTATTCTTCATTGAATATTTTCTTTCTCAAATTTGAGATCAATTATTACTGTGCTAATTCTAGATTTGTTGGATTGTTTATTTTGATTCTTTCAGTTTTATCTTGTTCCTACTTGGGTAGTCACAGAGCATAGGGATGCAAACAATAAAATGATTTCATAGGACAAACTATTGAATTATTGGTTAGTTCGTTGGCAGAGAAATGCATTGGGAGAGGTGGTGATGGAAAAAACTTCACCTTTACGACCTGGAGTTGAAAAGTAAGCCTGTTGTTTTGTTATTTAAAATATGTACTCTCTTTAGACATATACGTGGGACATGCTTCTTGCTTATTCTTAGATCAATAGTGTGTGTAACTTGTACCTACTTGGATAATTTTATGAAACTTATTGAACTTTATTTATAAGTTTAGTTTTTAACAATAAAAACATTGGTTGTCAGTTATTTAAATAAATTTTTAAATAAAAACTTTATTTAAAAGTTTCTTGTGTGTAAATATTTTATAATTTGAATATCCCTATATGTATGCTTCTTTACTCTTTCAGCTATTATTTAAATCTGAATTATGTAATTGCCATTTGACTTGGTTTTGAGATTTTACATGGCATACCATCACTAAAGTTACTGAACTTACATGGTTTACCCTGTCTCTCCTTTCCTCTTCAAGCTCATTGCAGATGTCTTCAGTAGACCATGTTCTATAATGGACAGGCTTAACCTTGCAAGGGTTTGGGGGATTGGGAGAGACAATGTCATCATGTCTCATTTACATTTTGCAGATGACATTGTTGTCTTCTGTGAAGACTTAGGTGAGGAAGGAGCTCAGAACTTGTAATACTTAGCCAAATTCTTTAAAGAATTATTATTTGGAAGGTAAAGTTAGGAAAGAGCTGCATTTCAGGCATTAATTTGAGTGACTCTTATCCAAGGTGCTATGAAGCCTTAATTTGTTTTGTAAGTGAGTGGCCTCTAAACCACTTGGGTCTGCCTTTAGGAGGAAACCCTAGAGTTGCAGTTATTCATCATTTCTCAAACAACTTGGTTACTTGAAGAACTATATCTCACTCAATGGGAGGATGATTAATTCCACCTTTGCCAATTTACCTGTCTACTACCTCCCTCCACCCAAATAATAATAACAAACAAAAAAAAAAGATTGGTCAATGTGGGAGGAGAGGAATGCTAGAATTATTAAGGAATAGAGTATGACTAAGGAGGCTATAATTGAAAGTTTAAGTGTGAAAGTTGCTTATTGGGTCAAGAATGGATATCTTAAAGGAATATATAGTGAAAGACAAACAATTTGGGGGTGTAGCAGCTTCTTCTTCCTCTAGAAATTTGGTCCATGAATAGTGGAAAACTCCTATTAATAACAGGGTAAAGCTGAATTTTGATGGGAGGTCTCAAGGTCATATATGACCTTCAGGTATTGAGGGTGCAATTAGAGATGGGAATGGCTTGGTTTAGGCTATGTTCTAAGGTCTGATAGGTCTTGGAGATTCATTAGATTCAGAACTTTTGGTGCTGCTACATGGTCTAAGACTAGTTAAGCAATTGGGTTTCAGAAGGTAGAAGTGGAAGGGGACTTGAAATTGGTACTATCCTGGCTGAATATTGAAAATTAAGGACTCACAACCAAACTCATAAGAGAGATTGGGAATATTTTCAAAGAAATAGAGGCAATATTTCTGGCTTTCTGCTAATGGGTTGGTAGGTTCCTTGGCTGAACAAGGTCTATCCAGGGATCAAATGTTTTGGACTGTGATGTAATTTTCTTTTTTAGCTTAGGATTACTAGCCTGGTTTGATAGTTTGTAACCTTATGGTGAAGAAAGAATAGGCGTGGTTGGGCTTCTGCCTAGAAATCTTTTCCTTTTAGGTAAATGGTTGTGGCATCTCCCCTCAGAGCCTTTAAGTTGTGGCATGCTATGATCAAGAGTATTCATGGTCTCTCAACTAATAGTTAGGATACAAATAGGAGTGCAACTTGGGCGGATTGAGGGCCAACCCATGCTCAACCTGAGTTCAAGTCTGAGTTTACCAACCTAGCCCTAACCTGAGCTTAACCCAACACAACTTGAGTAGGGCACGGGCTTGGGTGGGTTTGAAAGGACTTTTGAATATGTTTTGCACATTCACCTATTATTGCACGCTTTGTAACCCAATTTAAGAGTGAAGCCTAATTACTTTATCTTTTTCAAAAAAAAAAAGAAAAAAAGAAAAAAAAGAAAAAAAAAGAAAGCAGCAATTCCAATTACTAAATGCATCTATAAATACTTAGAAAAAGATGGTTTTATATAATTTTGTTTTGAAAGGTAAAGTATGACTTATATTAACTGGAAATATGTCAAATAGATGCATGTTAACTTCTGTACACCAAGGCACTTTACAAAGGAATGGGAAATCAAAAAGCATAGTAGCTACAAAAAATCGTACTGATAGTCATTGATGTAAATGTAGAAGCAAGGAAAGAATTCATGAGGAAGCAAACCAATTTTCCAATTCCTATGCTAGAACTTTTGGGTTATAGGATATTGGTACTGTTTCAGTTTTTTTATTTGTTCTTCATTTATAGGTATCTTAAGATTAGGGTTTTGTTTCTTAGTTTTTTATTACTATTCAAAATTACTATTTATGGTAATTCTTGGAATTTCATAGTACTTGTAATTACTATTTTTAGAAAAATCATGGATTACTGTTTATAGTATTTTCTGGTATCTTGAAATTAAATTAGTCTTAGTAGGATTGGGTAAGTGTTTTTAGAGTTGTTTTAGTAATTAAAGTCCTCATTGGAGTGTCTTTATGGGTCATCAATTGATTTTTCTAAGTTCTAAAACAATTAGAAGTTTTGGGTCAGTTTCCTAGTCCGAATTGGAGTTTGTAAAGGGTCATTTGAACTAATGTATCGAGTCTATAAAAAAGTCATTGTAATTGCAAAATAAATAAATAAACAAATAAAAGAGTTATTTGATGAAATAAAGATTGGTTTAGTGAACTGAATTCTGGTTGTTGCCAGAAAATTTTCTCTTTTCTCCCCTCTCTCTGTCCTTATTTCTGTTAGACAGTTTTGTATGCCCTTAGCTCCAATCAGTTTTGATGTACTTTTGATATTTAATGTAAATAAATAAAGTACATGTTTGATTCATGTTATGAGGTATGCTTCTGTGTAAGACCCTAAAACTAGACACTTAATGAGGCTCGTGTTAGTTTTAAATGTTCACAACCGTTGGATAAGTCTGGGGAGATTTATCTTGCCAAGGCTGACACTGGTGTGCTGCCAAATGTTGGGGTGGCTTGTCTCAGCCGCCAGGGTGAGACCCAAGGCACACACAGTGTAGGATTACTTGAACCCCTGAGCCGGACCAGATTTCCAGTATTGCCCTGGACCTTGGAGACTGATGGGCAAAACTGGGAAGTTACACCTGACCCCTAGACCCGATTATGGTACTGCACTAGGTGTCGGATTAGGCTGTCTTTGATATGCCAATCAGTGAGATCCTTAGCGGGGGTCAAAACCTGGGTATGTTGGGATAGTCTGAGAATTCATCTGAGTGGGTGATCATAGTGATGGGATCAGCCCCTTTGTCAGACAAAGGTAATAATCGGGATGCACTCTCTCTAATGGAAACCAAACTGCCGGTAATTGATTTCAATCGTTGGAATTTTGTTTTGCAAAATTTATATATATGATATATACTTATATATGGTTTCAAATTGTTTGCAAATGGTTTTAATTCTCGGGATCCATGTGAGAAGAGAGTGTAGCATTGTTCCTTGCAGTCGAGGGAGAGGTCCTTTCTTGTCGGGCAGTGCTTGATCATTATGGGCTGAGAGGTTAAGTGTAAGGCCATTTAGGGTAATACCTGATGGGCTAATCTTGCATCTGCCCATAGTCCCTGCGTTTTTATAAGATGGCTTGGCCCAGACACCACTTAGTGTAAGTGTTGGGCCTTTAGGGTCCATGTGATGGGCTCAAGGGGTTTACTGGGCTTTCCAGTGAATTCGGCTAGGCCTTGTAACAAAGGCTGGGTCGAACCCATGTGGCTGATGTGGAGATCAATGCTTGGGTCCCATGCCATACAAAGAAGCCCAACTGGGCAGCAATTTGGAACTTATTGAGCACTAATTACTTATTGGGCCTAAAAGCCCATTTCGAACTGGTCTGATATGACCACTCACTTAAGGGGGCGAATCTGTAGATAGGATTAACCTCTTGATGAGATCAGGAATGGGTTGATCTAATCTGCAGATAGGATTAAGATTATCCCCTATTCAAATACAGATTTGGATTGGGATAACTCCTAATAAGATTTGGAGGTTTCTTAATCACTAAGAAAGGAGGAAACCCTATTCAAGAATTAGAAGAATTCGACCTAGGGTTTTAGCAAATACATTCTTTGCAAACTGAGATAGGATCTCATCATCCCTAAGCTGAAAACTGCATTCACGCCACCTTCAGCCTTAGGGATCTCCTCTTGCCGCTGCCACCTTGCTGCATAGTTCAAACTCCATTGAAGGGAAGATCAAGAAATCAGTTCTTGATATCAGTCTTTGCTGAAAGGCTGATCTGTTTCGGTGCTCTAAGCCCCCAACGAGTTCTTGTGAAGAGTTCGGTGCGTAGGACGCACACTGTTGGTTCTGCTCCACCATTGCTGTGTCATTGGGAGATTTTCATTCTCCGTATCAGGTATAACCCTTCCTTTGTTTCTTGGTTCAGATCTGGTCTGGTTTGGTTCAAGTAGGATCTTTGAATTTTGATTCTAAAATTAGGGAATACGATTTCTAGTTGGAAGAAAGGTAGGAAATTTTTGAAATTCGCCCACCAATTCCTTAACCTTTTTGGCGTCCATACGATGGATCCTACCATTCTTTCAGTGGTATCAGAGCCACAGGTTCGAATCTTGAACCAAGAGATCAGATCTGAACCTGAGCAATTCGGTAGAAGCTGTTCTATCCGAGTATTGCGCAGATTGCAGTTTTGTTTCAAGAAATTGTTTCTTGTATAGGCGATTGATCTGAAATTAATTTTCATTAAATCTGAAATTTAATTTAGATTTGTTCTTATTTTTTTTTCTGATTTAATGGACTGTTCGTACATGGGGTTCGAAGATCAGTTTTGGCGCAGAAAGTCTGTGCACCTGTTATTTGCAGTTTCTATTCATTCTGGTTTGTAAAATAATTTTTTTTATTTTTTATTTTTTTTATTTTTCTAGACTGAATGTATAGGATTCAATTAAGAATGTAATTATTTAATAGAAATA